TATATATGACACCCTAGTCCGTATTCCTGTGCGTGTGTGAGTGTGATTGTATTCAATTATATCTTCGCCTCCATACGTATACATGTGTGAATATAAACTCTTTCTTTTAGTATAATCAGGTGAGTTTTCTTTCTTGTCTGAATCCGTGTGTCGGGATCACTTGCTATATGAAGCACGAAGGAAAAGTCATTCTTTTGAATCATTGAATCCTAGTGCTGAGATAATTTTGTATTTAATGAAAAAACCCCTCACTTGTGCTCAGAATCACTCTGCGGTCAACGAGCTGGGAATTGGAAGGTCGAGTGCGATCTCTGGCAATATGGTATTTGCGATGCTACAGAAAACTCTGGACTTCAATTGTTCATCCAGTGCTTTCGCTCTAGATTTAATGTGTATCTGACAAGAATACTTGTACATAATTTGAGTGTTCATGTATCTGAATTGGGTTGATTACTTTTCATAACTGTATCTGTAAGCGATACAAATAGTATAGTTATATATTTACTTTAGTAATTTGTAAATACATGTTAATTCTTTCATTTTGATCCGTAGACGGATTATCATCAAGCTTATACAGACGATATGTATACATCGATTTACTTAGGCTCTAAGCTCTGACTTAGATTCATTCATATTCGTGTTTTTTTAAGGACTACTTCATGAGTCTGGAAATGGCATCGGCAATAGTCACGCTCCACAGATACCTGTTCTTATCGATGCAGAGCTTAAAACTCACCATCTATCACTTGAATCCTGTACGTTGTAGGCCCGAAAACCATGCACACGGCCAAATTCTCACACATCAAGAACAAACGGTACACACTCTCCGGCAATTTGTTGATGGGTATGTACGTCCGCTAATCTTGCACCCTGCCGCCTCGCAAGCTGTATGCATATCTCGTTCTGTTTGTAATTGTATCGTTCTATAGCCTTACGCCTTCAGCTACGGACTGTTTTGTAACTGACACTTTACTGCCTAAAAGATTCATATATCCACCATAGGCCCTACAGCGATCAAGCAAGTGATGTATAGTTTATCGGATCGTATATCGGACATTCCATTAGTTTGCTGTACCATCCTCAGTTGATTCATATATGCAAGTTGCGTATAGTTCACCAGGTTGCATATCGTCTGTTCTATAAACTGGCTGTACCACTTTTCAGTTGATCCACTCGAACACGTGGTGGATAGTGCATCCGTTTGTTTTTCAGTACATTTATGTGCGTTCTATACCACCCTCAGCTGATACATATGCACTTTCGTGTCGTTTGTTTCGGTATCTGAGTCAGAGATCTGTTTTAAACATCCTTCTCTGATAATTCATTGTCTGGCATTGTTCTCATAAGAATTTGAATTGGATTCCTGTTACGCAGAGGCCAGCGAAGAGATCGAGGCAATTATTATCAAACTAAAGAACTGGGTGAAGAGAAAATCGGCCAAGATGGAAGGAATCTCGTTTAATCTTGGAGACTTCACCATTGAAGTCGGGTCGGTTGTCGTGGGCAGTCAAGATCGCGGTATCATCATGCGGGTGTGTGATAAACATTTAACATTGTGAGGATGTGCTGTCGTTTGGATCACCAGTTGTGTAATTATTTTTATCAATGGGTACTGCATATGGTTCGTCGATCACTACTTGGTTTAATAATATTCAAGGGCTTGTGCTTTCAGTGATGTCGTGAGACTTTTGTTATGTGTGTCCATGACGATGTGGGCAAGTGGGCTACACATCATACTAAAGCCGCCCAGTTCGGATATGTTTGCTGCCAATCAACCCCTGTGTTTTCAGTCTCATTGTTTAGCCGCGTCTGTGTACAAACGTTAATCTTCAAATTTATTCGACATTCCCGATGTACGACGATATTATACTCCTTAGTGCTTGTACTCACGTGCAATAGCTCAACATACTATCTGTGGCGTGACCATGGATGTCGGTGATCGGTAGGAACGTGGTATGTGTATCTGTGAGCTTTATGTGTACGTATATGCATTTGTGCACAATAGCATCCCATCAGCTTACCTATATTCTTCACTATTGTCGACAAGGCGTGAGATTCTGTTCAGTCGCGATATATCTCGCATACATGCGTGTTGGAACAAACCGACACTGATATGATTCATCCGATGCAGCTCTCAATTTGCATTTCAAAAGATCTAAATTTCTACCGAACATTGTTTGGACTCGCAAAACAGAGGCTAAGTGAAGGTTTAAAAGCTCAAAAATGTGTATACTAATACTTCACGAAGTATATGTATGCGCTAATATAACTCACCGAGTCGCTCCTGCCGATTTCAACTGCAGATGGCATATGGAGCGTCCACATCTCAAGCGCAGTGCGTCGACCTGTTGACCGAGATGTACACGATGATCTTCCGGTGTACACAGACCATTCGTAAGTATTAGCCCCAATAGCAAATTATTATTTTCTGCCGCTCATCGGGTGGGTGTTGATCGAACACGGATACCTCAATCAGCATCCGCTGTATGTTTCATGATATATCTCGAAAGCAACCGCATAGGCAGCTTTTCAATATTCTCTACTTGATTCTGCAACAGCTTCTACAGATGAGGTGTTCCCGGTAACTGATTTCCAGACGGTGGGTTTGGATCCTGAGGACTGTGGCGACCGACACATGGCCTTCCAATACATGACCGCTTTGAAGCAAAGCAAAATACTATAGACCAGGTCGAGGTGGTAGTATTGTGACACGGATAAGTTAGTGCTGGGCTTTCCCTAAGTCATCTTGATACCAAGGCTGCACCTTCGTCGGAGAGCACTAAATACTGTGTACTCTAGCGAGTATGAGAATGTAGTTGTATCCAGAGAGGTACACTCTCGAAGCCCATGTGACTATAGCTCGGATCAGTTGTGTCTTGCTACCTAACCTATACCGCTGACAGTTTATCATACTTGTTATCCTTCCATGTTCTGATAAGAGGGGCGCGTCAGTGATGCCGCATCAGGCAGCAGTTGGGAAGAAAAAGCCGTCATATGGTGCAGTTATACATCTACGATTTGGACAAGAACGGGCTGATCATCCACCGGCTATTTGCAGTAGTAGAGCACCTCTGGCTAAGCCCCGCGCTTAGCGCGACCCAAGCACGATTATACGACACACTCGACATATGAGCACAGGGTGTTAAGTGATAAATGCCTCCGTTTTACGCCTCGTATCCAAAATAAAAGGTGTCAAGGTATTTGATGCGTTTTATTCTTTGTTACTACTAAATACACTTTGAAGTATTCATTCTTTTAAAATATGTTCTGAGCCATAAACCTGTCCGCATACGGAGAACAAGAGTACCCCGCACCGTCCAAGTACAAATAAGTAAATATACTATCTTCTATATCGTCACTCGTATAGCAACTACCCACTATATATTAGAACATTGTAGCTCCATGCAGGTCCAGTACGTTCCGACTACGTAGTAGAACAAGATGTGTTAGACACAATTGTTGGCGCCACACTTTCTTGTCAACATACTCAATCCTATTCATGCCCACCCGTGTCCATCGTCCAACTCTCTACAGGGCTTTCGGTGTGTATGCCACTCAGGAACGAGACCTTACACAGACTCCCGCTTGGCCGTTTTTTAATTTGTTGCGTTCTATCACTGCTAGTCATTTGTGATATACCATGGCCAATATGTACAAGGCCAACGCATTCTAATCAGTGTTTCCGCACGCACAGCTAATTGCCTGACCTTTCCAATGCCGCGCAAAGACGGAAATTGTTGAGTTCATGAAAATTGTGAATGCAATCCCAACAGTCAATTTCGAATCGAGCAGTTGCACTTGACAATTGAACAGTATCACGTGTTCGATGTTTCCTTGAAGTGAGCAGCTCGCTCCAATCTTCGTGGACTGTCTTCCAATCGGCAAGGGGACCACTGCCGATCATGGGCACGTGTCCGTCAACTAAGTAAAAATTTGATTGAATGTCATATCCAAATTACATATCCAACCCATTAATACCAGTAGTTAACGTACGAGTCAATGAATCACCTCGCTTGAATCCCTCATTATTTCCAAGTATTTTCGTCGCCTTTCTACCAGCGTGTAGAGGAGGATTTTCTCCGTACGACCCAAGCATCTGGAAAGGTTTGCCTTCCAAATTCGCCGGTACGAGAGTGGGTATCACACCAAAAAACTTCGCGGCCTTAGCCGGTGCATATATATCCTGCATCTCGGGGTCCTCACTGGGCTTTGCGTGTACGCGAGTGCGCATAAGATCCTTAGGTGTGTCATAGTTGACCAACGAACTAGACAGAGCTTTTCTCAACGGGGCATGCTCCGCCTCTTTGAACGTGTCCAGCGAATCGGACAGTAGCTTACACGACGCCCGCCTGGCGATTGCGGCGGGGACACTCATATATGAATCCCTCCCTTCGTTCACCGGCGCTGCCTGATTGATGAAATTGGTTGCCGCCAGTTTTGATGTTCGCATGCCTCTGCTGTCGGCCATACCTTCCACTGGCGTAGTTGGTGAGGGAGATGCGGGATCTGACTTCGTCGACAGGAGATCCTCTGCGCTACCAAATCGTTGTACGGCAGAGCGATTTTCTTCGCCCATTAATTGACTATGAAATTTGTTGGGTGCGCTTATAGGAGCTACAGGGATACCTCCCAAGATATTACACGCCTTCCCTGAGTTTGTCGCCGGAAGCACCTCGAAGATGTTGCTATTCCTGCGTATGGGTTCACCCGTGCATATCAGACCCATCTGCATCACCTCCTTCCCGCATGCTGAATGGCACACAATGAGACACCCAGAACATCGCACTACATTGGCAAATACCAGATCTTTACACTTCGCGCATGCGGGTGGCTTCTGCGCCTTGAATCCGGTATATTTAAAATTGTGCTTCCGGTTGCTCTTTATCTTGTTCTGCCCTTTTTTGAACTCTGCAAATCGCGTAATCTTATTTTCTAATAGCATACGGTATGCACACTGCTGAGCGTCGTCAAATATAGTATAAGATGGGAAGAGTCCTTGTGCAAGTTGCTCCCGTATCCACAGACTATCTTTCTCATCAAGATTGATCTCAAACTCTGAACCGGCTTCGACGAAACTCTCATAAATTTCCATAGCAGAGAGTTTTACCAGCAGAACGTCTTTGCCTTTGCAGACCTTATCGTAGTGCTCTTTCCAATCCTCACACTTCCAAAAGAAAAGCAGGATTTCCTACAAATATTCACAATTTCCGCATGAATGAGCAGTGAGAACGCCTCCGAGACAAAGCCGCCAATTGTATCCTTAAAAGTTCATATATCAAAGAGCTACGTGAATGAATTTGTGAGTTAATTCGCATAGTACTGAAAGCTGCGTATTTTGTCGTGGTCTACAATCTTATTCCAGATATTTACTATATATATACTCTCTACGTCTGAATACCTTACAGAGCGCCAGTGAGTAGTGGTACAAACAAGGACAACCCACAACGGCTAATCTCAGACAAGAATTCAGTACATGAGAGAGGTTAACTACTACGTTTGTATTGGTCAAATATAATCGCAGAGAAGATCAGTATAATACGGAGGTGCGCATACGGATGAGATACTACAGAAATTATTCATGCCCGCCACCCGAATTACACGACCAACCTCACGAGGAAAGCAGTATGACCTTTCCTTCAGACCAGCTTCGAGCGTCTGTGCATTTCGCATTCATACAAGAATCTAGTCGATTTTACTTGCGACTGCTAAAAAGCGACGTTCTTGTAGAATTTTGTATCCGATTTCAACGTTTACAGGACCGAATGCGCAGTATACACATTAATGACAGCCAAACGTACGAGAAGCTTTACTGGGATCCACTAAGAATCTAGGTAATTAATAGGGTCCATGACCAGATCCAGCAGATGGTACTATCAACAATACTGACCATAGGAGCACAAAAATGTGAAACATACCTCACTATGCTCAGCCCTCAAAAAACTAAAGAAATCTCGCGCATCGCTACTGTTTCGATATTTCAGAATAAAAAGAAGCTGATTCGCGTAGTTGTTCTTCGCATCGTCTCCGCCCACCATCGACTGGCCCGCCGCACTTAACCTTAGAAGCAAACTAGTTGCAGACGGCGCTTGTGTGTGTATGAGATTGTGAGCAGAATTATCCACCAACACGCTCACAGGCCTCTGGGTAGACTTGGATGACCTTTTTTTAACTGCACTAGAAGTCACAGGAGATGTTGGAGCACTCGTCGTTGCCGGGGCCTTCGGCAAAAGTGACTCAAATAGGTCGCATTCTGACTGCTCGAGTGCGTCCAATTTCCCACTAGTAGTTATTCTACGAGACTCGACAGGGCCCTCGCGGAATGAGCGAGTACTTCTGAGAGATGGCCCTACCGCTTCCCCGGTAACCAGCCTAGGATTGATGTAAACAGCACTCGTAGTAAGGGACCGTGTGAGTGCTGCACTAGCTGTTGCCAACTGAGCAAGCGGAGAGTCATCATTAACTCCTACTTCGCATTCTCGTCTGGCCATGGTGTTCTGCACCATTCCTGCCGAAGTTTTACACTATAAACCACACCTGTCAAGTAGGCGATATGAATATACCAAGACTTGATCACACTAGAAAGTAGTTTAAAGTACTACGGGTGTTGTCGCTAACAGATAATTTGTATCACTTTGAAACGTCGTATGGCACTGCCGGCAACCAACTACTATCCCAGCTAACGTTACTGGCTCTATGCTCTTCTAATAGCCTCCAGCCATATCTGTATGTAGTATTCTCTGTATTTTAGAAGGCTACGCATTTACAAGCTGAAGTATTCCACGAAGTATTTCAAGTTTTTTTTTAAATATCATAAAAAAACTGTTCAACAAATCAACACATCCTGTCTTGCTGTATTTTGAAAAAACCCAAAAACCAAAAAAGGTGACCAACCACCAGCAGTGACCAGCCCCAGCCCCCAGGTCTCAATTCGTCAAATGCACATATTTAGCCTTCTGAAAATCAAACAATATGCACCGTTTTGATTTCTTTTTAAAGTTAACCCCGTTGTTCAATTTAAATTTTCAGAAGGCTCTGTTAAAAAACGCAAGCGTTTCCTCTTTTTTTTAAAAACCCGTTTTTCTTTCTCTGGTAGACGTGTGGTCTGAATTTCTGCCAAAAAACGCCTATGCAGCCTTCTGAAAATGGAGCAAAACGACTACTAAATAAATATGTACGAGATTTATTTATTCTTAAAGACTGCGACCACTGACAAATCTCAATAAATACACGTATTTAGCCTCCTAAATAGTACAACACATATCTATATATATATAATCGTGTAGAAATGATTACGTTTCCGTTAAGCTTTAAAAGTTGCTACAAGATCTTCACAGTATATTCATATGGTGCCTTCCCTATGGTATAAAAAAATATACAAGCAAAACGCAAAGCGTATGCGAATTCGTTTGTATATTTAAAACCAAAGCGTTGTATTTGTGTGGTCTGGAGTCTGGACTCTGAGAGTCTGGAGTCTGGAACTCTGGATTTCTGTGGAAAAATAAACCCCCCTCTATGAAGGCTGTAAAAAGAACAATTTTAAAAGTGTAAAAAATATCAAATACATAGTTTTGTTACTAATATTTTTTCGAAACGGGCTCTTAAAAAACCCAAATTTAAATTGGGTTTTTTGGGATAGTTGTTTTTAAAAAAAACAATATGATTTGTATTTTTTTCCTCTTGCCGAAGATAAACCGTTGACAGGTTTGGTGAACTAGAAATACATACGTGTATAAACCTGTCAGCATCGCCTTAACTTAAGCCTGAATTGAAAACTCGAACTGTAAGATGGTTTTTGGCGCGTCACTTTTACTGCGACCGACCATAGCCTCCTAAATTGAACATGGCGCGGCTGGCGCAAGTTTTTTTTAGAGGTTTTTCTGGGGGGTTTTATACTAAATAAAACAATTACTGACCGAAATCATCGAGATTCGAGAGACTACGACCTTGAGCCTCCCGGGAGTATCTTGTTTTAGCACTTCTTTGATGTGGCGTCACGGTTTAACTTGCTATATCCATTAAAGGATAAGAATACGCAGACCGTGGCAGAATTATGTTGTCAAGTCTTTGCTGACCACGGGTGGCCAGGTATTATGTGCACTGATAACGGTAGTGAGTTCTGCGATGACGTAATGGAATCGCCAGTACTCGTATCAGGCATATGCCATAAGAAAGGTGTGCCATATACGCCGCAAAAGCAAGGCGCGAATGAAACGCGCCATAGAAGACTTAAGTTATTCTTGCGTACTGTATTAAC